AAAATTCATCCTGTGAAGAACGTGAATGTGTGTCCCAAATGTCCCGACACTTCATACAAAAGCTGTCAAAAAGAATTTTCTTAAAACCATAAAATGTTGATCTGGTGGTGCTACTCAGATGATCTCCAAAGTCATCGGGATGCATCCTCTGGGGAATATGAATCTGTTCGTAAAATATGTGCCAATCAATCTAACAGGTGTTGAGAAATTCTATTGGATGAGTGAAAACTGAGCTGCTGGTGATGAGAGAGGAAAAGTCATCAAAAAAAATTAATTGGGGTTCATCCTCTGGGGATCATCGTGGATTTATGCACGATGGTCTCGTGGCAAAAATAAATAAATAAATAAGTGATGGACTGCCTAAACAACCCAATTCCTATACCCACAACACTACCGTGGCTCAAACATTAGGTTCAGTCCTAAAAACACGACAAAGATGATAATAAATGTGCTTTCATTGTTAATGAACGTCTCATTTAATGTAGCGGCCCACACCCACACACACACACACACACCCCAAGTGTTATTCCTCGACAGGCTCTGTGGGAACCAGCGTTTATCCCGGCAGCAGATTAATTAAAGCGCTCCAATATCGCAGTTGTAATATCACAAAGACAACACTACAGGACAGACAAGGCAGGAGGTACACTTCAATAAGACTCTCTTAATAACGGCCATTTAATCGGCCGGGCTGCTGAGCTGCTTGCTTACACACACACACACACACACACACACACACACAGACACACACACACGGGGAGATTAAACAGTTTGGGCCAAACAGGGAAAAACAATGCCACCTTAGTAAAGCCAAAGTGCTTGGCATGTAATGCATTTACAGTTGATTTATTGGCTGGAGGGAAGCCATGAAGGGGGCAGCAGCAACAAGGCTGGTAGAACTATTCACCTTCCTGACGGGCAGAGCCGAGGGCCCGTTAACCCGCCTCCCCGTGGTTTGAAGTCTTTCTGCTCTCGTTGGAAACATTGAAACAATAATTCCACACCGTGGAGATTTTGTGAACTCTGTGGCACGACCACAAAAAACGGTAATTTACTGGCAACTGATCACGGCAACAAGGGACCCGAGAGGTAGCGAGCATAATGAGGTGAGGTTTGGGGGGGGGGGGGGGGGGCTTGACTGTAATCAAGTATCCCCTTGGGGACCAAAGGTAGTAGTGGTGAGAGACAGTAATAAAAACTATGATTCTGTTTTTTAAGCCATGGTTTTAGAAACACTATATAATATGAGCCAGGGGGAGACGGGCGGGGGCGGGGGCGTACAATACACGGAATGAAAAAGCCTTTCAAGCATAAGGAAACCAGCAGGACAGGTTATAATACACACACACACTTGAAAGTACAGGATGGGCCATTTATGATGATGGGGACAGGGGAGGAAATTACTCAAAACAAGTGGGAGTCGTACGGCATCAAAATGTTATCATAACACTGCTACTCACACAGCTGCTGTACAGTACCATGAAGTTTAAGGTGGGGGGGCATCGATGATTAATAGTGAAACTAACACTGTGGTGCGGTTAAAGGTTAGTCTCCATGCTCGTTCCTGGTGATAGAATCTGTATGTTTTGTTAACGGGCATTTGGATGTGAGAATATAGCAAATTGATTAATGAAATAAATAAATTTCACAATATATATTGTTATGAGAGGTTACTCAACTAGGAGAACAAGTGTTAGTTGCAGCCCTGAATTGAGGTAATCATAGCCTCGTTATGCCTATTTAGTGAGGGCAGACATATTTCTTTGACCGACAGGTTTAAGTAAATTAAATGTCAAACCGGACAATGTTATCAGAATAAATCTATACTCATAGGGATGAAAGTTATTCCTTCACCCGGTGTTTCTTGTGAACAAAGGTATCCTGCTGCGTGACTCACACAATAGTCCAGGTCCACTCTGGTCTGTCAACTTTTTTGTTTTTTCTATTCACACCACAATGCAAAACGGGAGGAAACGTCCTCTCGTAGTTAATAGTGTCAGACAGATGTCTTCCCAGCTCAGTGTTTGTGAGACAAGATCGCAGGAAGGTGAAAGGGTCAGAGAGCGGTTGAAGGTGCTGCATCAGACGCCCGAGACGTCTTTCGGGGCTCAGAGATGCTGTCCTCCTGACAGAGAACGGAGCGCGGTCTAGCCGGGTATAAAGCTAAATTGTTTCTGAAGTAAAGTGCAGCTGCCAGCCCGAGATTACAGCTCACACACAGCTCTGTGCCCGCGTTGTTCACCACTCAGCAAGAAAAGGAAGTGAAATATGCATGTTTTCACTGAGCCAAAAGCACAAGCAAAAGATGGATGATAACTCTTCAATGGTGGCCCTCAGCCACGTCTCAAGACGGACACATAATGACAATATGTAATTGTTTCCCCGCTGTTATTGTGTAAGTTGTCCAAACACAAAATTTATTTTGCGCAAAACATGCCCTTACAATCAAAAGGTCAAGGATTAATCGGATGTTAGAGAGCGATTTCAGGGTTCAGGAATGTTACACAAAGCGGGTTTTACAGGAAATGTGTGGAAGTCAATGCTTTGATTTAAAGATTTTTTTGTTGTAATGGGGCTGATTTAGGAATATGTACAGGCCCACTGAAGTGTGGGGAGTTTCCCTGCAGTTAGATCAAGTATGGACTGGAACAATGGGACAATAAATGAGCTCAAAAGGCATTGAGTGTTTTTTTTAAATAAAAGGTATTGGACATTCATCTTTGCAGTGAAAATCTGAAGAGGAGGGAATATTTACTTTTGTGTCAAATAAGTGCGGAGATTATAAATCGATGCTCGAGTCAGTGGATAGGGGAGATTGAAGGCCTTTGTAACAGTTGGATGTCCACCACACCCAGTCTGACAGACACTCACTGAGTCTCATTTCTACGTGCGCAGATAAATACCGTATTTACTTAAACTGGGATTTCCTCTTTTAAAAGTATTTTGATAAACCGACTTTGAGTGTAATACGGGTCTGAAACTTTGTCAACGTTAACATGTCAAACTGTCGCAAGCAACAGTTGTTACCGCGGCTGGTGTCGTGTTGCCAGCAAAGCTTCAACGGACTCTCCGGTGTGTCTTCTTCTTCTTCCCTTCCGTCTTATTCAAACACGTTGTTTAAAAAAAAGAACACGAACATAAAACAACAAACCACGGAGCAGTTCCTTACCTGAGAGTAACTTTGAATAAGTGTTAATCAACTGGAGCGTTTGCCTCTTGCCGCTGTCCCAGCCCAGGAAGGGAAACCCGGAAACCGTTCCCGTGAGTCGGCTCCGCCCTCATCCCCGAAGGCTTGTCATTAGGGTTTCTTGTTGCTCCGCCACTGGCGCCATTACGGTTCAACGGCCAGGACGGCTGTCCCAGCTAAACATCATTCTGTTTAGGATCCAACATGGCGGTCCAAGTGTGACAGTTTCTATAACTATTCGCCCCAGTAGAAGGCATTTTCCCCCTGTCGACCCATGACTTCGTGGGAATGTTTGACGTTGAACTATTTGATATAAATTGTACATTTAAAACCGGCAAGCTATATCTGGCTTTGTTACGAAATATATTTTACTAGATTACACTTTCTATATGACCACGAAGTGTACATACAATATTTAAATGCTCTGGATATCCTATGTTATATCCAGTGGTGGAAATCAAGTCGCCTATTGTTAAATATATTACACATTTTGTACTATTTTAGGTCCTGGTATTTCCATTCCCATGTTAATTCATTTTATTCTACTTCACTAATTTCCGAGGAGTAGCCCACTTTATGTATTTGACAATCACACATTACTTTACAGATCAAATGTTTGCATACGAAACAAAACCAATGATGAGCTTTTAAAAACATAACTAGTTTTTAAACGGACAGGCCTACACAGCTAGCTACCCAATAGCAAATCAAGCATTTAAAATCAATTTAAATGAAATGATTGATACCAAAGTACTTGAATAACAATTTGAATGCAATTACTTTTAGCAAAGTATTTTCACATTGTGATAGTGCCACTTATACCTCTTGTAATTACATAAAGCATATCCTGGTTTAAATATGCACTAGTGGATTGTATTCTGAAATGTATATAGGTTGTGCAAAAACACCACCAAAGGCTCGTTATGGGATATTTCCGGTTTAAATTTGAACAAAGTATAATTAACAATGAAGTTCCTGACAAGTCATTATATTTCAAATTATTTTATACTTTGAGTTAAACCCACCAACATATATATATATATATATATATATTAAAAACATAATACAAAAACACATATTCAATAACATGGTATAAACACATAATACATACATAATAATCACAAAATCATTTTTATGAATTCATATATAAAGAAGCAAGAAAAACTTGATTTCAAGAATCAAATAAAGAACATTTTATATAATCCAAACGTTTTAGTGAATTTAATGTGTGACGGCAAATTGTTCCGGTGAAGGGAAGCCTTGATACTTGTTACATGTTTCTGTCGGACAGGGAAACAGAAGAGGATCTGGCTCTCTTGGTAAACACACTGAGATAAAGCTGTTAAGGCTGCTTCAATTTAAAGTGAATAGCCTGCATTTAAAATAAATATGACATGTTCTTTTCTTTCTTCCTTTTTGTGTCATTTTAAGACAGACAATTAAGAGCCTCTTACACAATTGGGTGTGAAATGACCATTTTAAGCTGCGTGTACACCGCAGACATGTGGCATTAGCCTCCATGTCTGAAAAATCAATAACAAGTGGCGTGATTCACCCAACCACTGCATTTTAGCTGCTCCACAGCCTTAAACCCCCTCTCACCCCACCGTGCGCCTTCGAACCCTCTCCTGCTCCCCCTATTCATTGTAAATAACTGTTCAAACGCACAATGCGCCCTGGACCGCTTTATTCAGCCTCACAACTTCCCTGCGTTTTCATTGGTCCCCCGAAGATGCGGCGACAGCTGATTGGATGGAAAGTTTATCCTCTAGTCCGTACACCCCCCCACCCACCCACCCACCCACCCCGCAGATATTCGTGATCCGGTGCTTCTGTGATTCCAGTTGTTTTCACATCGCCTCAACCAACAAAGAGACCCGGAGCTGCTGTCTCTTACATCTCCAATGTGGTGATTGATGCGCAACTAACGACCGACGCTCCTTCACGTCGAGGCGAGAACTAAAGAGCAGAAATATACCTTTGCACTCCAGAAGATACATTTGGGAGAGAGTTTTAAAAGTTCCACACGGACTTGACTGAACGCAAAGAGCGAAAATGGTGTCGGCCGGACTGGAGATCCTGGGACTATCGCTGTGCGTATTCGGCTCGCTCCTGGTGATGGTGTCGTGCGGGCTGCCCATGTGGAGGGTGACGGCGTTCATCGAGGCCAACATCGTGGTGGCTCAGACGATCTGGGACGGCTTGTGGATGTCGTGCGTTGTGCAGAGCACGGGCCAGATGCAGTGCAAGGTGCACGACTCCGTCCTCGCGCTCAGCCACGACCTACAGGCGGCCAGAGCGCTCACCATCATCTCCTCGGTGATGGGCGTGCTGGGGCTCATGGTGGTGATCGCGGGAGCGCAGTGCACCAACTGCATCCAAGCCGAGTACGTCAAAGCCCGGGTAGTGAACGCTGGAGGGGTCATCTACATCGTCAGCGCTCTGTTTGTGCTGGTGCCCCTCTGCTGGATGGCCAACAACATCATATCTGACTTCTACAACCCGCAGGTGCCCGGGTCCAAGAAGAGGGAGATCGGCGCCGCGCTCTACATCGGCTGGGCGGCCACGGCGCTGCTGCTGATCGGGGGATCGATGCTGTGCTGCTCCTGTCCATCCAGCGGGAACTCTGGATACTCGGTAAAATACGCACCGACCAAGAGAGCCACGCCGAACGGGGACTATGACAAGAGGAATTATGTGTAGTTTATGTGTGGCTCGCGGACGGCGGTGCGCAAAAGTGACCTGCAGCTATTGGAAAAACTTAATAGTTGCACCTGCAGTTGTTGTTTTTGTTTTAGAAATCTGAACTTTGAAAATCAATGGATGCACATATGCTGTTTTTTATACACTGGCCATTCAAAACGCTCGGACCACACATTCACAAATCCTTTTTGTATCTACAAGAGATTTTTTTAATAGTCTATCGACTACAAGACGTATGCTCTCAACAAAAAGGAGGATCTTTGTTAGGTACCTGCTTTCGTATCTTAGACATTATTAGTGTTTTGACTTGTTTACCGCTGTAACTGCAAAGTTTTTCTTATCTAGAGGAGCTCTTGCCATCGAATATATACATTCTTCTTCTTTTTTTGCCTTGATGTGCATTGTCAGCACAAACTTGTACAGTAACC